GCAATGCTTTTCCATCTTCAATTCAAGTATGAGATTGGGGGCGATGGGGTGGGGGGGTGAAGACAGCTGCTGATGCTCTGGCTCCAGCTCTGGCTCTTGCCCCAAACCAGGGCTGGAGCTGCAGCTGGTCCCCTTGCCACCTCCCAGCTCTACCCTGCTGCCTCTCCCCCACCCCACTGCCGCAAAGGAGGTGGGGAGGGAGGGATGGGCAAATTTAGGACAACCTTTCAATAATTAAATTCTGTACTTTGGGGGATCATATTAAATTCAGGTTGTCTTGGATTTGGGAAAATACTGTCTATCATTTGGGCACACATCTGTTATGTTTCACGTAATACTTCACACTCCATAGGATTCTTAAGGAACCTTTCATCTCAGACGAATTAGGGAGGGAAGTGTTCTGCTTAAGCATAAATCTGCTGCTATGCTCTTCTACACAACAGTCATCTGTATAAAGCTAGTTTGTGAAACAGAAAAGATGGGATGGAAGGGACCTGTGGAGGTCACCTAGTCCAAACCCCTGCCTAGGGCAGGATCATCACTCTCCAAATCATCCCACAAATCCTTGTCTAACCTACTATTAAAACTACACAGTCTAATGCTAGTAGTTTAGTTGTGGCAGTAGAGTGCAGGCTGCTGCTTTAAAGCTAGTTCAGGTATGTTGATATGAGCTGTGGTGACTCCATTATAAATGTCCCCTAAGTTCTTACCTGCCCTTTGTCAGCCGTAAAAGGAATTTCCAGTACGAAGGTCTTAGATTTTGAACTTCCATCACAGCCTGCAAACAGAATTTCAATTATAATTTCTTCAAATCAGTATGTAAAACATTCCTTGGCACAGGTCCTAAGAAAAAGAAAGTGAATTCCTACTCTTACTCTAATGATAGGTAGCCACAAGCCAGCTATGCTCTTGCTGTTGGGCTATACGCAGATGAGTAGTCATGCTACCAGCCATGTTCTGATTACCAGACAACAGTCTGTTATCTCCACTTGGAGCAGGGTGATCGCAGCACCTCAACCCATCAATTCTCTTAATGTAAAGATGGAAAATATGCTATGTTTAACAGGGATATGGATGTGTGACTGGAAATTTATTTTTGTTAGACACTTGAGAAGGAAACTTGCAGGCAAGGAATTTAATTTTCTCTGTCCAGAGGGGTATCAAAAATAGATCCTCCCTCCTGGAGAGCAGAAATCTCCAGAAATCCATTTAGCCTCAACACAATAAACTGGATTGGGAGGGGAGGGGCTCCAGATGAAACCACGTGGAAATAAAGGTGGGGTCTGAGATGTAGCAGGAGACGATCAAAGTCGATTTATTCAGGAGAGGAAGGGCACTGGTAGCCATCCTTGGATGCAGATCCTTCCAGCACTGCCCAAGCCTGACTGGGAAAGGTATGATGAAAGAACAGGTGGGGATGGGAAGGAGTGAATGAAGGGAGTGAGCTGGGCATGAGAAATGAAGAGGTGTCTCTGAGGTACAGAAAAAGCAGCAGGAATTATTACTGAGAGAGCGGGCAGAAAGGATGGAGAAGGAGATTCAGGAACAGCAAAGGGAGAAAATGACTGCAGCTTGTCACATGCTGTGAAACTGGAGATCTCCTTCTTTGTTTCTGCCGATTTTGTACCAAGCTGTAATTGCAGCAAAAGTTAATTGAGTGTGCAATTTGCCAACCTGGCAAAAAACTGTGGGGAAGGTTAAAACTCTTTGAGGAAAATACTGAGTGAAGCAAAGTTTTCATCAATGAGTTCATTTTGTACTTCTCTTTTGTACCTTGAGGTTTCTTTCAAAAGAAGCTAGTATCTACTCATGATGCTCACATTACATTAGAAATGGGTGATCTGCGTCATGGAACGATTAAATGACCTTTTCCACATTGACACTTCAAAAGCAGGGAGAGAAAGCAAGGGACCAGGCTCAGAGATCATGAGTTGAAGTCTCACTTAAATCACCAGATTGTCCTGCCCCTCCTCAGGATAGTATCCCCATTTCAACCCACTGTTTTATTCAAACATTAAAATGAATTCAGGAATTTTGCTTTCTGTTTGAAGCCTGAATACTCACTGCCTGAAAGCAGATAGCTGTGGAAACAGCATAGATGATGCTGTCTGCATGAGGAAAATAAGGAACCTTTCCTGCTTCAATGCCTTTGAAGTACATGGTCTGTAAAAGCAAAACACACATGCCAAATAAATCATATGTTAAAGGAAAGATACTGACTTTTGTATTTAGATATACTTCCATTCCTGGAGTCTTCAGCAAATATTGTGATAACTACTGAAATTAACATATAATTTTGTTACACTAACCACCAGGGCCTGTAAATTAATCTGGACATTTTTAAACTTCCTTATAACATTTTCTTACTGGAGCGAAGAACATATTCGGAGTTTCCCAAGGTGGTTGGCTTCAGTCTAAGGAAAGGGGGCATATACAGAGAAGTAACAGTGGAAATATGGAACGCTCTGTGAACTCTCTACAAATATAAGGAAAGGATTTGGTTTCCTCCCCCTCATTTTGTACTGGTTCCCAATACATCTAACCATGTCCAGGTCTGAATGAACTTCCTCATACCACTCCTGAAGCACTCCATTCAATTGTACACAATATAATCAATTGTGCAATCCCATCCCTGTGCATCAAACAGCACACGGCCTTCCCGAGAACAGGAAATGTAATGATGGAGGGTCTCAAAAGATGGGGGTGGGAGGAGGGAGTCAGTCTTTATTTAAAAAAAATAAGCTTGGTAGGAAAGAAAAAGATCTGATGGAGTGGAAGAAAGAACAGACAGCAAAGGATGTACGGAAGAAAGAGAATCTGGTGAGAAAAATGCAGGCACGGTGTGTAGTGTACCAGGGAACAAGGTGGGGATGAAGATGTCCATCCAACCACCTCACTGATAGGACATGATACAACCAATGGCTTAGAACCAGCAACAAGGTAAAGTGAAGCACAGATGGTCATTGCATTCAGCAGTTTAATGCTCAGAACTTGCATACCTTTCCTATCCTCGGTTTACCAAGAGTAATTAACCACTTTTCACGCATTATGAGAGTGAACATTGTCGCAAATGGCTGAAATGACTTATTCAAGGTGATGTGTTGGAAGATTTCGACCTAATCATTATCTAGCAACAAAGACACCAACTTTTCAAGAAAATTGCTAAATAGGTTGGTGTAGAGTGCCAAAGGAGCAGGTCTGTACAACAGTTGGGGGGGGGGAAAAAACAGTTTAGCAAAATAACCCTGAGATCATACAAGACAACATGCGAGATTCTATTCAGAAATATTAAGGCAGCACCATTTGGTGCCTTAGTAATACAAAAGTATAAAGGAAATGCTACGTGGAACATAGTACAGCTTGTATTTTTTAAATTAAAATGGTAGCAGGTTTACAGCAAAGAAAAAGGAAGTCAAAATATTAATATGAAACTAGGGAAATGATCTTTATTGCATTTCTAAAAATATGGAATTTTATTATATATTTTCTAACAATTAAAGGTGAAATTTTCAAAAGCCCCTGACTGGTTTAGGAAAATAAGTTCCACTTTTAAAAGTGCGACTGGGGAACTGAAGAATTTAAGGCCCAAATCCACCTTTTCCATTAGGCAGATAAGAGCACTTACATGCGACTGAAGTTAGCTGTGAAGAGCGGGGTCACTTATGCAGAGTTTAGATCCTGCTCCCTCTGATGAAAGGCAACTCAAGTTCTAGGCTCCATCAGCCAGAAAATGCACATCAGCCACTTCCCAGGATAGTGTGCTTGCCAAGATTAGGATCACGACACTGTCAGTGGTGATAATGGATCCCTTCTGAGCATGCTCAGGAAGACAAGTCAAGTCATTCAGAGAGGTGCAGGATCTAAAATCTGTAGAAACAGCTTTTACTGCCATGTATGTGACTTATAATAGCTGCATAATTGCTCCTTAGCTGCCTAAAACAGGAGTTGGATTTGGACCTACATGCAAGTGGCATTCTAACAGACTTCAACTCTTAAGTGTCTCTGGCCAGTGGTGGATATTGAAGAAACCATGTGATGGGATCTGAACCCCAATCCCAACAATTGCATGCCTTGCCCTGCCACATATTCAGGGCAGGATGTGTGATTGGGGACAGATCTCAATCATGCGACTGCCAGCAGCCCAGCCTGCCAGCTGCAGGAGATGAAAGGCTCCCTGAGGATGGAGTCAAGAGGATCCCAGTGCAGAGGAGTTTAAACCAGGCAGGGCTGCTGGGTGTGGAGGATCAAAGGCTTCCAGCGTTAATTGTGTAATAAGTGTAACAATTGCCAGGGGTCTTAGACATTTCTGAAAATGGCTTTCAGGCTCCTAAATCACTTAGGGGTTTTTAAATGGTTTACCCGAATGTCAACATGGTATTTCACAGAATGGGTATAAAGGGTATTATAGATCTTGAAGATAAGAGGAGATGAAGTTTGCTATAGAAAGACCTTTTATAACAACAAATCTATCATGAGGCAACAAGTCAAAGAAAGTGACTATTTACTACCCTGAAACAGCTTGGAGTTGCATGCTTTTCTTTTTGAGAAAGCATGCAGAGTTTATTTTCTTGAGCACAGTTTGATCCTCCAAGCAGCACACGCCTCTTTGGTCAGTAAACCTTGGCTTGCATAAGATGGTAAAAGCAGTAAAAAAAATGAGAAAGCACATAGCGTTTTTCTTATTGCATTGCAGCCACAATGTCTCAGAGTAAAGTCCAGAGAAAACCATCAGCAACACAGCATAACATTTCCTTATTATAAACAGAAAAATGCTCAAGTAAGTAAACCTCATACAACAAGGATGATGCAACGGGCCTGAGATGTTTCGATCCATCATTAGATATATCCAAAGAGAATTTGAATCAGGATTACTAGGAACGGGCACGACTAGGTTACATATCTCTATGTTTAACGTGTCATTTTGTTCCATCATTTTTCACATTTCTCTCTGTTTTCACCTTTTCAAAGGGAATTCAAGTGGCGGCAAAAGGAGTTGGAGACTGAATTCCCTAACATCAATAGAAGGAGACTGACTCAGGGACAAGGCACCACCATGGACAGGCACTGTCAATTTATTCCAGTGATGTTGCTGAGAAAAGAGCCATGATTCTTCTTGGAAAAATTATAGTGACAAACTTAAAAGCCTAAATACACCGCTCCTAGTCAATGTTTCAAGGCTTACCCTCCCTTTTAAGAACATAAGGGTGCATGTGGACGTGCTGCAGGGCTGCTCTGATGTGCTGTAATTGCAGCATGTCAAAGCAGACTCCATTAATCAAGTCTGCCAGAGCGTGGCAATTACCGTGCTCCAGCCACCTTCCGCGTCTCATATATATGTCTTCGTGCTTCAAAATGGTAACGAGATGCTTAAACTAAAGCTTGTTGCACTAGCTTTGGTTCAAGAGTCCCCGCCATCATTTGGAAGCATGGGGATGCTAATACATGAGAGCCCCACTAATTAAAGTGCACTCCCATGTAAATGTGCCCTAAGAGCTGCTATTTACTGGACCAGACCACAGGCCCATCAAGCCCAGTATTTGCAGTGGATACTGGCTAGAGCACTCTGTTTGGTGTCCTCCCTTGGCACCTTGGTTATTAACTTGTAATCTTCACTCCCATCCCTGTTTTGTCATTTACTGTCCCAAGATATCAACTGTTGTACACCTAACAGCCTTTCTCCTGAAAGGGGCTTGTGGTTCCTGGTGGACCTAGGCCCACTGCAGTTGCACAACAAAATAGGTACATCTCACACACATCCCTGGCATATAAGCATTTAAAAGCACAATAGGACCTGATGTATGAGCCCCACAACTGCGCTTCCTGCCATGCCACATGTGCAGAAGGTGTGACTGTGGGATCAAGCATCAGATCTCATCACACCACACTGCCAGTAGTAAGCTCCCAAGGCCTGGAGCTGCCAGCTAACCCAGACTCCCAGCTGCGGGAGCACATGGTATAACCCTGCGGCTGGAAGTCCAGATCAGCTGACAGCTCCCAGCTTCAGAGACACATAGTGTGCCCCTGTAGCTGGGAGCCCCAGCCTGGCTACATGTTCAGTTAATGGCATGAAAGGAACCAGCCACAAATTTATTACGTATATTTTGTGTAATAACTTTGTGTGGCTCATTCCTTGTTTTATCATGCCATTAACTGCATTGCCATGTGGCCAGGTAACTACTTAACATGTGATTAACTGGTTAATCATGTCTTAAGTGCAATGTGGCCCAGGGGGCACAGTGGCACATACTGGATGCTGAAGGGAAGGCTGAATGGGGGATATCTATTCTCATTCCTCTCCCATTGCAGCTTCCAGCATACAGAGGTTTCTCTCCCAATTCATGTGTTCATAAATTGTGATTATAAATATGGATATGCAAACAATGTCTGGGGAGCTGTTATGAAATTCTTCTTCTTCTTTACTTTTCTTTGGCTTACACTATTTTATCAGATCTCAGAGATAAAAAAGGATCAATTTACAAGCAGAAAGTGTCATTTAATCAGTGCTCACTTCAGTGGATGGATCAGTGGAAAATCTGATTCATTAAAGTAAATAGGTAAGCATTCTTGGCTATATGTTAAGACCTAAGCTATTCTGAATTGCCCCAACCTATCATTTAGACTAATGCTGAACATCAGGAAACAAAGTCAAGAAGTCAGCTGTAACTTTTGGTAATAAAACTGAAACTGAGGGCTAGTGCTGATTTGTATTTCTGGCAGAAGAGACAAAAGGCACATTCCTGGAACTTCAGATTTCTGCAATGATATGGAAAGCAGAGGGCTACCAAGGAGACAAAGGAGAAGTTAATGGAGAAAATACGCAAAGACCAATGGCTAATGGACCGTTAGGTTTAGTCATGGAAAGGAAATGAGGTCATAAGACGGATCCATCATTTGGCACGTGTTTGCTTGCATGCAGTTCTATAGTGAAAACGTAATGTGATACTGTACACTCTGACAAAGCTAGTAACATTTGTCTTCTTTCTCTGCCTTATTACTGCAGCTAGGATGAAACACCTGGGAACCAGCAGTTCATACCTTACCTCCACTAATTTGGAAGCTAGGTACATGGAGATAGTAGTACTTTTGTAAAACATCATAGAAACTCCTGCCAGGGACCCTGCAAAAATTGAAAAACAAACAAAAATAAAAACATACACAAGATTTTCAACTATTTCTTGATGCTGCTGTATGATGCAGTGCTCAGCACAGCTGATGTTACACAAGTTTGTGCTTCCTGCCTCTGTATCAAGCTTTAGTGATGTTTCTGTGCTGCATATGAAAGGGTGTTTTATGTGTCAGCTTGTCAAAAAAAGACAGATCCCTTTTGTTTTGGCACTTTGAGATAAAGCTGAAGTCCAGTGGCCAGCAACATGGCCTCAAATCTCCCCCCACATCCAAAGACCCCAGCACAGAAATGGCATAATGAAGGGGTGCCAAAGATCCAGCTGGGAATTCACAGGCGAGACCCATTGCTAAATTCCCAGCTACAAAGCTTTGCTGGGGTTGCACGCTGACAGGTGGGGGTGGGTAGGAGCAATATCTACATTAATCTCTGTGCTGACTCTTGCCCTACCACTATCACTGGGTCCAGATCTGGCCTGTGAGGCTCCTTGTGGCCCACATCCACCTTGGGGCTTCATGAGAAATGGATACCCTGATCTAATGGACCCATGCAATGGGGGATCCTTTGGTCCCGTCTGTGCTCACCTCTGCTGCACAGGAAGGCTCCACTGAGTACTACACCATCAGCATGAAATCCCAAGCATACTCTGCACCCCAACCCCTGTTTGATTCTGCAGCCACAGGGCCTTCTTTGGCCATAGTGGGAAGTGGCAGGACCCAACCCTCTTTTAACTGCAAATGCCATTGTATTCAAAACAACAGAAGAGTTCCCAATTAGAAACTGGGAAGGAAATCTTAGAAAGTAAAAATTGGTAGTCATCTACATGAGTCAGGTGTCAAGCAGAAGGCAGGTCAGGGTAGCATCTTAGAGACTAATATGCTCAGAAAGGCACAAACCTTTGTAGGTGACAGCCTACTTCATCAGGTGCTATGAATGGACTTGCAGAGAGCAGGGGTACAAAAAAAAAAAGGAATAAAGTAATTTAAAAGATAAGGACAGGGGAAGGCCATTTATGACAGAGGCAAAGTGGGGTTGAAGAAATCAAAAGGGCAAAACAAAGCAATTAACCCACTGAGGGTTAAACTCACTGAGGAGCATAGGGGTTATAAATGCTAGCTAGTTCAGGTATCTGGATGAAAATGCAGCATCTCTGAGACCATACTTAACACAACCCAATCTACGAGTGATTTCTTGTTTGAAAATGTTATGTTCAGGTTGGTTTCTACAGTTTGGGTGTTTAAGAAGTTCTGCTGTTTAAGAAAAGCTATTCGGAGGTCAGTGATGGAACGTCCAGGGAGGCTGAAGTGTTTTGCCACAGGCCTGTGCGCCTTTCCGGCATTGCTGTCAAATCACTGCCCACTCATTCTTTCATGTAGGGATTGCCCCATCTGTTCAGTGTAGGCAGCAGAGGGGCACTGTAAGCATGCTGTAAGCACTGTAGCATATGACATTTCTAGAGGAGCAGATGAACAAACCCCACGCACTATAATTCATGTTCCTTGTTCATCTGAGCAACCAATGTCATATATGCTGCCACGTACAAAAGCTTATGTCTTTCTGAATGAGTTAGTATCTAAGGTGGTGCTTCCCAAACTTTACCCCAGCATGACCCTATTTATGACCTCATTTCCTTAGCATGGCCCCTCACTCCCCAGGTGTCCTACACTCCCCACCCACAGCCCCCTGGCCCTGGCAGTGCCCTCACTCCCACCCACAGGTGCCCCAGGGCCAGGGCCTCCCACCCCACAGGTGCCCCAGGGCCAGGTGCCCTAGGGCCAGGATCCAAGCTCTGGCTGCTGCCTGTGGGAAGCAGTGTCTGCTTCGGCTGGAGCGGAGCATGCAGCCCAGCTCTCCCGACCCCCAACTCCCTCTCCTGCGGGCAGCATGGCCAAAGCAGAGCCTGTGGGGGAGAGAGGAGAGGATGTGGGCTGCCCCCCCTGCCACCCTCCCCACCGGGGCTCCATGGCCCAGCAGGAGGGACCACTGTGGAAGGGAGCACTGCACTGCTGCGTCAGCTTGGCCCCCCTGCTCCCCTCTGCCATGTCACCGCTGCTCCTCCACCTGCCTGCCACGTTGCTTGTGCCCCCCTGGATCCATGTTTATCCTGACCCATGTTGTGATCCCATTTGGGGTCGCAACCCACAATTTGGGAACCACTGCTATAAGGTGCCACCTTGTCCAGCTTAGAAAACAAAAGACAATGTTACACTTGTGCAGAAAATAATTGGTACTCAACGTGCCTGGACATTTCCTTTAATAAAAAAAAATGTATCACATTTACATTGTTATTCATGCCTAATTCATTGGAGCCTTATAATGACTGATTTCCACTGCAGTACACACTCAGCATTTGTTTTCTTGTTAATAAAATACATAGGAATTTTGGAAAAGAACGGGGGGAGAACGCCAATTATATGCTCAAAAGTAATAATATTTAGAGAATCTGAATCAGGTGCAAAACCCATTTTTTTTCATGGACTTACCAGCTATAAGTGCATGAAGCTCATCATCCAGATTTCGTACCCAGCGCAGGAAACAACTAGTGCCCTGTGTTTGAGAGGATAAAGCATATACTTGGTTAGTATTTTTTAAAATGCGTTAGTTTTATAACAACGCACACAGCATCCAATAATCGAACTTATTAGCCTCAATGTAAATGTTCATGAAGGATAAGCAGGCATTATAACAATAAATTGCTTCTATTTCCACTATAGCCATGAGGCATCTATCAGTGTAGAGTCTGATGCACTTCATACAGTTTCAGTTTTTCTCAGAATCAGTCTAACTGTAACCAGACTTGTTAACTTTAAGCATCCTTTAAAGAAAGGAAAAGAAAGCCAGTTCCTGCTTGGTCTCCATCTACATGGAACAGCTTAATTTGCTGACCAAAACTCTATCTGGTGAGAGCACTTGCTGCAATGAAAACAAATAGTCCAACAGCATGAGAGGCAAAGAAGATGGTGACCTTCTCATGGGCCCAAACACCTTGAGACTGTTCATGTGTCAAGTTAGCAGGCCCAGTAAATTATGATAACTGAGGCCATCATGAACCCTAAATTGCAAAACCCTGCATGTAACTAGAAGTCCTAACTGAATGCAAAAAGACCCCAGGAGGGACCATCAAATCTTCTAATTTGACACTCTGTATGTCAAAGGCCACTGCATTTCACCAAGCTGCACCTGCTCTGGGTCCATTACCTTGTCTTTGAAGCATAACTTCTGTTTGGATAAAGCATGGTTTCCAAAAACTAACCCAATGCTGATTGAAGGCATGGGAATCCATCACTTTCTTTTGGAGTTTGTTCCAGAACTTAATAACTATTGCTATGTTTAATTTCTAAATGGAATTTGCCTTGCTTCCACCTTCATGCATTGACTCTTCTCTCGCCTTGCCTTTCTCCAGTAGGTTAAGAAGCCCTTTAGTATCCAGGATCCTCTTCCCATGAGGGCACTTGTGCACTGTAGTCGAGTCACCTCTCAATCGTCTCTTTGTCAAGCTAAAGTATTTAAGATTCCCATTGTAAGGCATCTTCGCTAGCCCTCAACTCAATTTTTCACTGTCTTTTTTTAAATATGGACAACAAAAGTGTATGCTTCTACAATTCTGTGATTCAGACAGAGCCTCACAAGCACCTATGTACAGAAGTAAACATCATTCCTCTAGTTCAACCCACTCTTCCTGTTTATACAACCAAGGACTGCATTAATCTTTTCTTTTTTTTTTTTTTTTGGTGCCAGAACATACATAGGCAATCTTACTGAACTGCTTTCCCAATATGACCTCTTCATCCCTTTCACAGTCCTAGCTCTGGTTACCCATCCTTTAGGTGTGGCCTGAGTTCCTTATTTCTATGGTTAGGGACAGACATTACACATAAACTGTTATAAGTGATCAGAAACTGGTTTAAATCTATAACAGAACATAAGTTCAGTGCACATACACTAGTTTAAAAATGGCTGAAACTGGTTTAAGACAAGCCTGACTGAATGTAGTATCAGACTTAACTGATTTGGGTGAAACTGGTTTATGCAATGTCTGTCCCAGACCCTGTTCTGGTTTAAGTTAAACCAGAGTCCCCCAGCATCCCAGATGCTTTGCAGCCCTTGGCAGTCCAGAGAGCAGGGCTGGCCCTGCCCCTGTGCTCCCAAGCCAGAGCTCTGGCAGAGACTACAGGCACAGCAGGATCTGCCTGGCTTCCCCCTAACCTCCCCTCCCCCCTGCCACTCACTGCTCAAGCAGGGATCCACCCCTCCCAGAACCCTTTCTGGTTTAAGTTAAACTAGATTCCCCCAGTATCCCAGATGCGTTGCATCCCTGGGCTAGCTGGGTTAGGCTGTCTGCTCCGGAGAACAGGGCTGGCCCCACTCCTCTGCTCCCTAGCCAGAGCTCTGGTGGAGACTACAGGCACAGCACTGTCTGCCTGGCTTCCCCCTGACCCACCCCCTTTATTGTTTGTTGCTCAAGCAGGATCCCTCCCTTCCTCCCTCCCATCTTCCACAGCATGGACCCCAGCCCCATGGACCCTAGGTATGTAGTATGCTAGCTAATGCTGAGAGGTGCCTCTGTGTGTATGACTCAAATTTCCCTAGGACAGGCAGACAGAACAGTGTCTGACTTGGGCTTTTTGGAGCTAATCAACAGGTCATTCCTTCCTTGGGGAAAAAAGCTGTTTAAGAAGAGCTTGAACTAATGAGAGAGGATTTTGTTTTGTTGATGGGATGATAAATCTTGTGTTATCAGCTCCCTGCTGGCTCCCTTGCCTGTCACGTTTGCAGACAGTATGAAGAAGCAGGAAGAGGGAGATTGAAAAGCTCAGTATCATCAACAGATGCATGCACTGTACACCCCCACTTTGCCTCAGAGTGCTAACTAGGGGGTTGGGTCTGGCAACACTTCTGTCCCTTGAGCAGCAAGTGGAGAAAAGCGTGGGACGGTGCAGGCTGGTGGGGGCTTAGAGCCCTCACTAATCAGTGTGTCCTTCTGGGGCCTGGCCACTCCAACTTCCCCTCAGCTCAGCACTTTGGAATGGAAGGGAGGGCTGGTCTAGCACCCCCTGACTTCTAACCTGAGCCACCACAGGCATGTGCCTGAATTTCCTCAGTCCAAAGGGAATGTCTGTACAGTTGAAAACTGACTCAACCTGGGCAGATTAGACTAACTTGCAAAGATTGAATCAATTCAGGATCAGGCTTTTTGAATGTCTGTCCCTAGCCCATATGTGCTATTCTGCATTTAGATGTATTAAAATACATTCTATTTAAATGGACCAAGACTACCAACTGATTCAGATCACTTCGTATGGCTGCTCTTTACTCTTCTACTATTAAACTATACTAATTGGCATCATCTATGAATTTCTATCAATGGTGATTGTAGCTTACTTCCACCACACTGCTAAAAATGTTGAATAGTATTAGGTCTAGTACTGATGCCATAGTGTCAATAAAAACCTGTAGCACAACTAGGTTAAGTGACAGGGACACCAGCTCCAGGCATCAATTTAGAGTGGGCACCAGAAGGGTGGCTGCTAGGAAGTCTGCATTGTGGCAACAGCAACCTAACTGTGGGAATCCTGCATCACTGCAGCAGTAGGCAGCGTAGCAGCAGCAGCTAGGGTCTTTGAGTCTTTGCTGTCATGTAAGACTCTTAGGTCCCTGGCACCTCCCCTCATTCTCCTGCTCTCTGGCATCTCTGTCCGAAGTGCAAAATTCACTACTTACATGTTTGTTAAAAATACTGTAATTATTTTGTCACTGACAGTAATTTGAGATGCCAGGTATTTAAATTTGCTTTTAGTATGAAGAGCAGTTGATATTTTAAAGTGCTTCCTGACAGAACTCCTGAGGGTCATAAACGCATCTTGTATTTTATTTTTGTTTTGCATACTTAGAGGGTACTATACATGATCTGCTTATGTTGCATTATGCTTAGTAGGAAAGCATAAGTATTGTTTCATATATACCGTATGCACTCGAATAGAAGATGATCCTGATTATAAGATCACCGCAAATAATTTGATTCTATATGTGGAAAATTTATAAACTTGTTAAGATTTTCCAGGTAAACAATCTAATTATTGGAGGTTTGCCTTGAATGTGTCCCCCTCTCATTGCCACAACAGGGTAAATAAATCTGGGGGGGTCAGGTAGCCCCTGCGCTCTCTGCTTTCCACCAACTTTTTCCCCTGGCAGCTCCATCCCCCTCTTTTTACCGTCATACCCTGCTCTCCCTGAGTGCATGGAAGTGAGAAGCAAATTTGAAAACAACAACTTTGAAACTAAACATGGCTGCATCAATTTGCATATAGTAAATTGATGCAGTGCACTTAGTTCATCCAGAATTGATGTATGTTACTTTTTTTTGAAACTGCTGCAGGTTTTAGCACAGGTACGCCATAAACACACTTTTGAGCAACACCTTAGGACCTACTTGTATGTGCAAACCATTTAGGCTAATGATTAACACATAGCACTGGGCTGGGCCCCAATAGAGTCAAAAACATTTCAAGCCATGGTGACCTCACAGCTCAGCACTGCTCACTATGTGCATGTGCTCCAGCACTGCTCCCCACAAAGGATCCACATCTTAATTAGCCTCCACTCATGACTGGAACCAGGTGTTCTTGTCACAAGTCCTGGGATGATCCAAAAATATATACGAGGTCCAGGGCAGCCTGGTCCAACTTCATCTCATGTATGGCAGGGCTATTAATCATATGCACCAGGCTGAGAGAGGGGACAACAGTGGGATTGTGAATGAACTATTTGGGGTCCTGTTTTGTGATGTTTGCCAAGCATTTAAAGCTGGTGAAAAAAACAGGAAACATTAAAAATGGAAAAGAAAGGTGCAGCGGTGGGAGTGAAGAGGAAGTCAAAAGTTACGCCATGTTGTGGCTCACCATGACTTAAAAAAGAGTCTGCAGTGAGTGGGACTGCATTTAATGGATAATATCTAGCTGGGGTCATATGAACTTAGTCTTACCAGGGGTCATACTAGCCCAGTATTCATTCCTGCCCAGGGCAGGGGGTCGGACTTGATTATCTGCTCAGGTCCCTTTTGAACCTACATCTATGAACCTATGAACCTACTACAATATGTCTTATTCAGATGGGCACACTACCCTATCCTTATGGAGCCTTTTGGCTGAGCACATACTGTTTTGGCAGCAGTTTAATGACAGACAATATATTTAGTGGGATTTTTGGTATGTGATTATAAGATGAGGGGCTTTTCCCCCATGCCAACTGGGGGGGAAGGGAAGGGTAACCTCATCTTGTATTTGAGTAAATATGGTATTATGACAGAAGTAGAATACAATACAATGCAAATCCAGTGTGTAGTCACCATTAAAGTTTCAAAATATTGGCTAGAATAGACCCTTTTTATGAACTTACAAAAGATTTGAGTAACGGTCACTTTAGCAAAAAAACAGGTAGAATTGGATTTCATTTAGCAGTTGAAGTTATTAAAGAAAGTACAGGTTGAAAAGTATTTTGAATGGGGCTTCTACTATATCGTCCAAGACATCTCTCTCAAAATTTGAGCC